CCTTGTGAATTGCGATGTTAAGTTTTTGTCATTTTTCCGCTACTGTTCCCTAATTTTTTTGTTTGTGTGTACCCCTCCCTTTTAAACAGTTCCAGATCCTTCCTCAAATGCTTAGAGAAGAAGAAAATCAAATACGGGTAGCATCTCCCTCCAGTCACGTGAGAGTTTTTATTCTTGAATAAAAGCAAGAAAATCCCTAAAAGAAAGGAAAGAAACATGAGGTGTGTGTAGTTTGTTATGGACGGGTCCACATTTTTTAATTTGGTTTACTTTGCATTTTGCTTTTGCCTTTCTCGTTCTTTTCCTCTTCTTCGTTTCTTCTTTTTCTTTTTTCTTCTTTTTTTTGTTTGTTTGTTCTTTCTTTTGGTAAATATTATTAAGTAACAAAACTAAGTAGTTAGATATAAATGAAGATAATTAGATTGCTACTTTTAATAATTCAAATAATTTATAAAAAGAAGCATAATTAACTAAAATCTACACCTTAAATATCATATTAAACTAAGTGAGATGTATTTTTTGTAAAGCTTTTCTTCTTATCTTTTTGAAAATACAATATCAACACTATTTTTTTTTGTATTTTTCTATTTTATGAAAAGTGAGATAAACTAAAAGTAACTAGATAAAATATCAATTAGCTAAAATGAAAGAAAATATTTTTTGTAATTTTATTTTTGTGATAAAATAAAGTAAGAGAGTCAAAATTAGTTGAAATAACGATATTAGGCCTAAATTAAATATTTACGTGCTAAATATAAAAAATCTTGGGGAGGGTCAAAAATCACATGTCTACAACTATCCCTCTTTGAATGGAAATACGAAGTATTTTCAGACAAAGAACGACTAGACAAGTTTTTTGACCCGACCCTTATTTAGGAGACTAAAACTAAGAGGAAGGAGAATGTGACCGAGCCCTGGTATCTGAGCTGCCTACATATCCTTGGCTATAAAAGAATCAGGCCACGTATAGTTCAGAAGTGAATGAGATGATGGAGTATACTGAGGTGGAGTGCCGGTCGAGGTGCCGTTCTGCCGAGGTTCTGATCTGCGGTCCTGTTATTACATCAAAAATCAAAAATAAAAAAGACTAACTAAACCTGTCAACTATTAGTTACAAGATTCCTATCTATAAGTCTTCTGAAAATTGATCTTGAGTCTTGAATGGTTCTTCACGTAGACTTTGGATTTGAACCTTAACGCTTGCTAGTTGCAGGTGCTAGTTCATTCTTCTTCAGCTTTTCGGACCAAAACCGGACATACCATGCTTTTGAATTCAGTCATGTCTTGAGCAGCTCACATTTTCATCAACGTCTGTATCTGGATTCACTTCTTGCCTTTCCCTTTTTTTTAATTCTGGATTGTGACTAATTTTTGTTGATCATCTCGCACTATTGACTCACATTCTTGTCGCAAGCTTCTTTTGTTGCTGACTTGAATTGCATTCTGAAATGACTTCCCTTATTCTCTAGGTGGCGCCTGATTGCCAATAGTTGAACTGTATTCCCTTGTTCTCCAGGCGGGCACCTGATTACCAAAACATGAATTGTATTCCCTTTGTTACCTTAAACTGTTTCCCTTGAAACCTGTGTTGTCTTCCTTTGAAACATGAACTGCTTTCCTTGTTCTTCAGGTGGGCACCTGATTGCCAAAACTTAAACTGTATTCCCTTAAAACTTGAACTGTTTTCCCTTTGATTTCCAGGTGGGCGCCTGATTGCTGAACTTGAATCGTCTTCCTTTGAACATTGTTGCTTTCCCTTTGTTCTCCAGGTGGACGCCTGCGTACCAACATTTGAGTTATCTTCCTTTCCTCCGAAACTTGACTTGTTTTCCCTTTGTTTTCCAGGTGGGCGCCTGATTGCTGAACTTGAACCGTCTTCCTTTGAACATTGTTGCTTTCCTTTTGTTCTCCAGGTGGGCACCTGATTACCAACATTTGAATTATCTTCATTTCCTCCGAAGCTTGACTTGATTTCCCTTTGTTTTCTAGGTGGGCGCCTGATTGCTGAACTTGAACCGTCTTCCTTTGAACATTGCTGCTTTCCCTTTGTTCTCCAGGTGGGTGCCTGATTACCAATATTTGAATTGTATTCCTTTCCTCTGAAACTTGAATTGTTTTCCCTCAAAACTTGAACCGCTTCTCCTTGTTCTCCAGGTGGGCGCCTGATTGCCAACACTTGCACTGTTTTTCCTTGAGACTTGAACTGCTCCTCCTTGTTCTCCAGGTGGGTGCCTCATTTCCAACACTTGCCCCACTTTTCCCTCAAAACTTGACTTGTTTCCCTTGTTTTATAGGTGGGCTCCTGAATGCTGGACCTAAATTATCTTTCTTTGAACATGCTTTCCCTTTGTTCTCTAAGTGGGTGCCCGATTTCCAATACTTGCACTGCTTTTCCTTGAAATTTGAACTGCTTATTCCCTTGTTCTCCAGGTGGGCTCCTGATTACAACAAAACAGACAAAACAAAAACAATTTCTGCCCCAGTTTGTACTAGGAAGATTTGTGTGTTGTTAGCAATATTGTAAACCACTTATACTATTGATGCAATGATGAGAGTAAACTAAATACTAGACAAGGATGTGTGTCTCCTATGAGTAAAACCAAAAATTTTGACTAGCAAATGCGTTTGCTAAAAATAAAACCTAAATGAACCACACTAGGAAGTGCATCTCGTAGGGGTGAAACTTGAATGAACCAAACTAGGAAGTGTGTCTCCTATGACTGAACTCTCAATTTAGGGAGTACGTCATCTAAAACAAAAATATAACCTGAAAAACCCATACTATGAAGTACGTCTCCTAGGGGTGAAACATCAATGACTCAAACTAGGAAGTGCATCTCCTAGGAATGAGCTTAAATGAACCAAATAAGAAGTGCATCTCCTAGTGGTAAAATCTCAATTTAGGAAGTGTGTCTCCTTTGGGTTGAAACTTTAATGACTCAAACTAGGAAGTGCGTCTCCTATGAATGAATTTAAATGACCAAAGCTAGGAAGTGCGTCTCCTATGAATGAACTTAAATGAACCAGATTAGGAAGTGCGTCTCCTAGGGGAAAATCTCAATTTAGGAAGTGCGTCTCCTAAAACAAAAATATAACCCGAAAGACCCATACTAGGAAGTGCGTCTCCTAGGGGTGAAACATCAATGACTCAAACTAGGAAGTGCATCTCCTAGGAATGAACTTAAATGAACCAAATAGGAAGTGCGTCTCCTAGTGGTAAAATCTCAATTTAGGAAGTGTGTCTCCTACAACAAAATATAACTTGGAAACCCAGACTAGGAAGTGTTTCTCCTAGGGGTGATGTGTGATCTTCCCAATAGCCTT